GATAAGATGTAACCCCCTCTGGGAACAGAGAGGCCACTTCCTGCCCTCCACCCACTTCCCCATAACCCTTCCCCATGTGTTCTCTACACCTACTTCCCTCCCTCTGCGCCCCCCCCCCCCCCCCCCCCCCCGCCCGCGTCCCTTCCCTAACCCTCCCCCCCTCCCCCCTCTGCCCTCGTCACTCTTGCTCTTTTGCACATGTAGGAGCCCAAACGCCATGCACATCAGAAGATACTACTGTGCAAAACGAGGAGAGTCCATGAGATAAAGAAAAGGAGGGTCCATGAGAATCTTGTCCAGAGCCAAAGCTTAGAACTTAGGCATTTTGCACTCCCCTGACATTGGAACTGACCGACTGACGTGTGATGTAACATCTTCCTGTTATTCATTCCAGGTCCAATCAGCAGGAAAGGATGATGTCCCTCCCGCCTTGGCGTTTTTCCACATCCCTGTACCGGAGTACAAGCAGGTCGCCCACACGAGGACGATAAGTGGAACCTGGCAAGAGGAGATCTGTTCACCGGATGTTAATTCTGGCTTCTTCACCGCCATGTTGGAGGCTGGCCATATCAAAGCAGGTTTTGTTGGTCATGATCACGTCAATGACTTCTGCGGGACTTTGCATGGGCTGCGGCTTTGCTATGCTGGAGGAGCAGGATATCACGGATATGGAAAGCTTGGCTGGGATCGGCGCGCACGCGTTGTGCAGGTGGTAATGAGCAACGAGGAGGGGAAGAAGATGGGTGTCAATCCTGCTGGTCATCAGAGCATGTCGGCTGGCACGCTAAAAGTTCGGCAGATGTGGACGTGGAAGCGACTGGACGACGGGTATGGAAGGAAATGGATGACTGAGAAGGATAGAGAACTGCTCTGGGAGCTTGGCAGGCCAACAGAAGATGGCAAATTTCCTGTCTTTTTCCTGCCGTGCATGGTGTATCAAATTGCCACCTCCATTTTCACGATCATCTTCTTGTGTCTTCTCGTACGGATGATGTGTGTAAAGTACAGGAATCGACGCAATCGACAGACAGGGGATTACGTACTCGCATCAACCATGTTAGACAATGACATGGTGCATGTTTTACCCCAGTGGAGGGAATCAGAAATTACAGGGAGACAGGAGAGGGAAGGTAGGTTGTGATCATCCTACACGCCGTTGTTGCCGCACCACCCACCAAGACCTGGTTTGGAGGGACGGTCCCGTCTTAAGGTTGGAAGTTGAAACTGCAGGTCCCTGGGAATGGCAAACTGTGGTTAAAATTGCAAATCAACCCCTGCCTCTCACCTTCTGGTCCAATTTCTGGTCCAATTTCTGGTCCCAGTTTCTGGTCTCAGATTCTGGTCCCAGTTTCTGGTCTCAGATTCCGGTCCCAGTTTGGCACCTTGGCACCGGCAGTCCTCCAATGAGAACTAAAGAACTAAGTGAAGTCAGGACCAGCTTTAGCACCTTGGTACAGTCAAGGTCCAGTTCTATACATTGTCGCAGAGAGGTTGGATTGGCCTAGACCTTGTGGTAAACTCAGGTCCAAGCTTGGTGCCATGTCACAGTCGGTGCTCTGGTATGCCCTTGGCAGCTTGGCACAGCCAGGCTCCAGCCTGGTATCTTGCCGGAGCGAGGCCCAGTTTGGCACATGGGCACTGTCAGGTCCCAGTTGGGAACTTTGAAACAGTCAGTTCCAGTTGCATACCTTGGCCTTTGGTGCAGTAAGGTCCAAGCTTGGCAGCTTGCATCGTTAGGTGCCGGTTTGGCACACTGGGGTATCCACTGGCACAGCCTACCGTCTTCACCCGAATAGAAGGCCCGGTCATTATCGCTGTATGTAGACTGAAAATTGCATCAAATATGGCTATAAATGACCGGGCGTTCTATTTGGGTGAAGACGGTAGTCCCAGTTTGGCAAGTTAGCCATCATCAAGTCCCAGTTTGGTTCCTTTTGCCCCTGCGGGTAGGCAGAGCAAATCTTGATTGGCAGGTTGGCGCCGTTATGTTCCACGGACCAAGTCTACAGCTTATCACACTGAGACCAGGTCTGTTTTTCACACCATCTGGTTCAGGTTCTGCAGTTGGGTACGCAGCTGTATAATCTTGCCTTCACTTCGACTAGCTGTGGGGTTTAGACTCAGGGTACCCAGTCCTGCCGCGTGTTTGAGCCTGAGATTTGACACGGCTGCGTCGGCTGGTAGTTTATTTGTGGTCATGGGCAGGGGATAGCTGGTACAATCAATATCACTTTCTTAATGTACAACAGGGCAGGCGCAGCGGTGATAAGCAAGTTTCATTTTTTGCAGATCCAGCCAGCCTTGACGTGGGGAGCTTCGCGATAGAGATGCACCTATCTGTGCTTTGGGGAGACGCACACACACACATACACAGTACACAGTACACACAGAGAGAGAGAGAGAGAGAGAGAGAGAGAGAGAGAGAGAGAGAGAGA